TTTATAAAATAGAATTGAGATTTTTTAGCTCCATGAAATACCCTGCATGTAAAGAGTACTTCATAAAGGACTAGTCAAAAACTAATCTACATACATATATGTGAAACACACATGTTTCATTTAACTTTGCAATGTCCCAGGTGAGGATCACTTAATCCCTAAAAGAATTACGTCAGATTAGTTTCAAAACTATTCTCCTTCTAAACTTATTACAATACTACATGATCCGTTTAGCAATCATATGAAATGCAGGCATGGACCATGTTGTTAAAAAAAACTGAACATGGTGAACATGGAGTAGTTTTGGCATAACCTGAATAGATCATGTACTTCAATAATTTTTGCACTACATATATGTATAGCGAGTACAAAAAACTCTTTGCTATAGCCAGAAGAGAAGATATTGACCACACAGTAGGTGTAACGTAATTGAAATTGTAACAGCAAATATGTATAGTATATGTATAACATTGCAACAAAATATTCATCGAATCTAAATGCTCATGTAAAAATTCTAAAAAATAGAACTGTATGGAAAAAATACATATACATATATATTTATGTATGTATGCATGTATTATCCGACTTGTTAGTAAATACAAGCTTCAACAGTTATTTTTTATATGTTGCAACATTTTTACCAGAAAATATATAAAAATGCAAAAATAAATAGAATCTAAACTCATAAAGCATAAAAATGTACTTTTTTTGTTACATTTGTTTTTCAGTGTACATATACATATGTATATCTATGTACATTAGGGTGGCCCCAAAATTTAAGTTGATGATGTTCCCACCGAAAATGAAAATTTAGATCATTCTAAGATACCATTTCTCAAAATTTTTGTCCTAGGGCCAATATTTGGTGAGCTGGATTAAAGGATATTTCCATATTTCTTACAAAGAAAATATAAGCAATTTTGGTATCACATGAAAGGTCTTTGGAAGGCGCTTTCAATGTCATGTCAATCAATAATGTGTGATTACAAAAGTATTAAATATTTTAGAATTTTTCGGAAAAATTTTTCGATTTTCTAATTTTTTTAATGAAATTATTACATATTAAATATCATACAATTTCACCGAAATGGTTTTTTTAAATTTTAAAATTCCATCAAGTAGAACAATAGTACCTTATTATTTCTCCTTACAAACGGGAAGACCCTAATGTACAAACATACATATATTGTATATTAAACAGTCCATTTCTTTTGAATATATTTCTGTTATTTTTACTTCATGCTACATTTGCTGCCGATGATGACAAATATTGAAAAGTTTTTTCCAATTCTATTCCTTGTTAAATCAGTGATGGGCACGAATGTATTATAAAACACCTATGTGAATATATACATATATCTTTTAAATATTTTGTATTAGCCTGTATTTATTCATTTTGTTGACTTTTATGATATGTAAATGTAATTGCCTTCATCGGCCCCTAATGGCTATTAATGCCGACCAATGCTCTAGACTGAGTAAAAGTATTGAATAATATTGTGAGGTTTGCATGTGTAAGTCCCGATACCCTACAGTACGTGGTAACAGTTCGTAACTAGTTATTTCATCTACCATTAGTAACATCTATTCTCCACAAGTCAATTAGGTGATCAGTGATTTTAACATGGGCCTGTCCTTAGTGGGAGTCATTTGACTCTTTAGAGACCGTAAGAACACATAAGAAATAAATGGACAATTGATTTTGGTTTCAGGGAATACATACATATACTCTTAATCAAAAATTTTATAATTTTTTTAAAATGATATAACGCATTTTGCTCCAAATTATAAACAGTAGCAATTTCTCAGTTTAAAATCTCATAAAAAAAATTAGTGTAGCATTTAAAAAAATTTAGTACTTTTTAAAAGTTTTTAACAACTTCCTTTTACTGCCTCTATGGTTAATAACTATTTTCCATTGACTAGTTTAAAACCTATAATTACGTACAAGCAGTTTCTTCTTGGACACCTGGTGTAAAAATTAAAATCTATTACTGGCATAATTTTGTTTTGTTATGTATGTATGTATGTATGTATGAATCTATGTGCAACAAACTGTAGTCATTATAAAATTTTAAAGTAGAACCCTACTCATACCAAAAATTTGCACATTAAAAGCTAGAAATTTTTTGAAAAAAAAATTAATAAACTGAATATTGCGTGTATAGAAATGCAATTCATTTACAGTTTAGTAACAGTAAACGTTGTTGTACTTATATTAATAGTTTTTGCTGTTGTTTTCATCGACAAGGGATGTTGCCATGGTCTTAACGTATACCCAATTGCCATACACATACATACACATCAACTATCCAACCATTAATTCATGTATGTATTTTCAACTGCATTCTTCATCCACCCTGTGCGCATTTTCCGGCTTTCTTGTTTTATAACGAATGCAACATAATCATATCGGAATTTTGTTATCATGCCGTGAGGTAGTTTAATAATGTTTTTGTAGTTGTTATTATTATTGCAACTACGCATACATATACAAACAGCACAAACTATAAATGTTGCACACTCCAATAATCAGGCAGCAATATCTATATTGCTTATTGCTTAGAATCCCAGTAGTTCTGTGTGATTGTCCCGTAACACAGACTACAACATAAGAGAAGCAAATAATTATTTATTTAAAATCTAATGATACTAGGCTATATTACCTGTATAATGAGTAATCGCTGGAATTTTCACATAAAACTACCGGAATATTTATTTATATTTTTCAACAAAAATTTAGATTTCAAAACATAACTACACATATATACATATATCACATTAGGCAGTCTCCTTTTATTATTACTATTATTTAAGATAAATACTATGTACAGTGGACGTCCACTAGTACGAATTATATAGTGTCAGGCCCTTTCGTAATACCGAAAAATTCGTATTATTGAACAACACATTTTGTATGTTTAAATTCAAATGATACACATAAAATATTGGATTTTATTAATTTTTGTTTTATTTTTCATGAAAAATTACATAACGGAACAAAATATAATAAATGTGTATTATTTTAAATCAATTTCTTGTACATAAACAGGCATAAAAGGGACATATTTACGTATATGAATTGTTAATTTTGAAAGTATCGTTAGTCCAATGGTTGAAATGAGATATATGTAGAAGGTTTTAAATTTTAATGTTTTTAAAAAGATGTGTGCCAAAGACAATTTGCAATTTACATATGTGTTCTAAAATGTATTAAAATGTTCAGGTTACATAAAACTTTTATTAGAAACTTGAATGGAATATACAATTCTCTAATTTATAATTTTTCCTTAAACCCATTGTTTGGAATGTGGAGTCACACTACTTTCAAAATTAACAGTTCATTCATACATATGTATATAAATATCATTTTACTTATTAAAAAATCCATCATTTAACATCGATGTTTATTACATTGTAAAATGATTCTTACGGCTTCAATAACAGCGTTTTTGAGGCTTCAATATTGTTCTCAGCAGAGTTATTGTCGGGAACTAATAAAATACTTTCCTCATTGGCGTTTTCATCCAATTTAATTTCTTCCCTTGGGTCATCAAAATTCCAATAAAATAAATTAATAACACTAAATAATTGTTGATTTGTAAATATACATGCAGTAAATTGTGTGTATAGGATTTTTAAAAATACAAAACACTTGTAATAAATACAAAAAAACTTCAAAATTACTGAGCTTAAGATGAATGATACCGAAATAATAAAATAAAAACATAATAAAAACTTCATTCATTCGTAAATAAAACCAAAATTCCCATAAAAAATGCGTTATTCGTACTATCGAACAGAAAAAATGTGACTTTATTCGTACTATAGAGTAGACAATGCAACAATTTTGCCATTCGTATTATTGGATATTCGTAATAAAGAGTATACGTACTATTGGACGTCCACTGTATTATAAAAATCCTGAAAAAATACAATTTAAATTCTAAAAAATTTTGAACTCATAAAAGAGTATAAATATCATAAACTTAATATTTTTCTTCCTCCTAATTTGTTACCTCCCTAATGCTTAAATATCTAAGTATATTTTATGTTTTGATACATGTTGATATTTTTAGGATTTTATATGGTCATTTCATTGCATTTTCTTATCATTTTGGTTTGTATACATACATACTAACACATACATACATAACTAGTAAATCATTAAGCACTTTTGCAGTTTTTATGCATGATTTATGTTCATGTAAATATCCATTAGATATGGGCGATTGAAAATGCCAAAATCTATAAACACATTAATGGTCATACATATTATATACTTACGAAATTAAATTAATGCTGTTTAATTTCTTTAAAAATTGATTGTTAATTGATGATCAGAAAATTATGTTTAACAAGTAAAAGTTTTATATTCAGCCATGCCCAGAATTAAAACATGTCTAGTGAATTTCGGAAGGTCCCTGCTAAAATTATTGGAGTACATGATCCATTTAGGTAATTCTGAAACTACTACCTTGTAAACATTATTGGAGTACATGATCCGTTTAGTAGTCCTATACAGGCTTGGATGATTCAAATATTTAATTATATTTAATTGCCAACCACTATTTTTATGCATTTTTTTATTGAAACAAATATTTATGATCTAAGGAATTGAATTTTTATTCTATGTTGTTTCGTTTAAATACTATACTATTTAGTTGTTAAAATAATGTTATCGAACAAGTAAATAAAATTAAATTTAATAATAATAATAAAAATCATATGATTCTAAATATGGTCCTTTTTTTAAAAATGTCGGAATTTTACTACAAATTTGTTCGTATCTCTACTACTTCTATATTCAATGGTATGTGTGAGATTTAAGCAGTTGTGTATTTTCTCGGCACAATTTGAGGGCTTAGTGTTTTGATGACAGGGATAGAAAGAGCCCTGTAATTTAGAGGATTCTGTTAAACCGTTTTGATACGGTGTAATTAAAGGATCAAAAGCTGACGACTCTGTTGGTCCAATGGAATACAAGCCATCCGATAGAATTGATACGGGTTCCAATGGCTGGTTAGTTGATTTTGCTGAGATACAATCGGGCTTTTCAGTTGTTAATATTTCTTTATTTGTGACAAAATTTTTTGAAGATGTGGTCGATTGTGACAATAAAGTTGAATCTGTAGTTACTTTTTCGTCGGTTAATCTTTTTTCATTTGAACTCTTCGTTGATGCTTCCGTATCTTTGGAAATGGCATTTTTTGTTGTGATGACATCTAAAGATTGATGGGAATATGAAAATGTTGTTGTTTCCAATAACAAATCTGATTTAGTTTTAATACTTACTGCGCTGATGGAAGATGTATCACAATCTCTCCCATTCGATTTATTACAATCTTTTTCGGCACTTTCGAACGATTTATCACAATTCTTCGACCCATCACAACTTCTATCTTCCGATTCTGATGAATTATCACAATTTCTAGAGATGTCACAGCTTTTTTCTTCGCTCTCTAGTGTTTTATCACAATCCTTCGATTTGTCACAACTATTATTTAAGCTCTTTGATGAAGAGTCACAATCACAACTTTTTCCTTCGCTTTCTGATAAACTGTCGCAATTTTTTGATTTGTAACAAGTGTTTTCTTTGCTATCTAAAGATTTGTCACACTTTTTCGAACTGTTACAACTATTGTTGACATTTTCGGAAGAAAAGCTACAGTCACAACCTTTTTCTTCGCTTTCTAATGATTTGTCACAATTCATAGATTTCTCACAGCTTTTTTCTTCACTCTCTGACGTTTTGTTACAATCATTTGATTTGTCACATTGTTCCTCTTTGCTATTCGTTGATGAGTCTAATGTATTGTTGCAATCCTCTGATTTGTTGCAACTTTCATCTACGCTCTTTGATGATGAGTCACAGTCACAGCTTTCTGATGAATTATTACAATTCCTGGTTTTATTACAACTTTTTTCTTCGCTATTTGATGCTTTGTCACAATTCTTCGATTTGTCACATCTTTTGTTGGAATTTTCGGAGGATTCGCTGCAATCACATCCCTCTCCGTTGCTTCCTGATGCGCTGTTACAATTACTCGTTTTATCACAGCTTTCTTCTTCGCTTTCTAATGGCTTATTACAATCCCCCGATTTACCACAACTTTCATCATACACACTCTCTGCTGATGAGTCACAGTCACAACTTTTATCTTCGCTTTCTGATGATTTATTACAATTTTCGGAATTTTTACAATTTGTATCTTCGCTATCGGATGACATGTTACAATTTTTCGAATTCTGGCAGCCTTTCTTCTCTCCCTCGTCGCAATTATTAGAACTTTCACAATTTGCTTCGTTATTTGACACACTTTCTGATGATTCTTCACAATTTCCAGATATTTTACAATCTTCATCCGAATATTTTGAATCACAATTTTTACCACAATCCTGATCTGCAGTTTCTAAAGATAAATCACATTTACCTGACAATTCACAATCCTTTTCTAGGCTACTTAAAGATGAAGAACAACTCAGCGATCCATTACAATCTTTACTTTCGCTTTCTGATGACGTGCTACAATTGTTTACCTCTGAACAATCCTTTTCTTTAGACCACTCTTCTGTAGATTCTTCATCACTTGGGTCACTTGTCTGTGGAATTTTGGTAGAGGATTCGGTTGACAATTCATACCCTGGGCCAGTTGTCTGCGGAATTGTGGTGAGAGGTGTTTCAGTTGAAAACTCTTCGGTAAGTTCCTCTTTCGTAGACATTTCAGATCTAGTAGTTTCTACATCACTTGAGCCAGTTGTCTGTGGAATTGTGGTGAGAGGTGTTTCAGTTGACAACTCTTCTGTTAATAACTTTGTCGTAGAAATTCCAGATCTAGTAGTTTCTACATCATCTACATCAGTTGTCTGTGGAATTGTGGTCAGAGGGGGTTTACTTGACATCTCTTCTGTCGTAGACATTCCAGATCTAGTAGTTTCTACATCACTTGGGCCAGTTGTCTGTGAAATTGTGGTAGGAGGTGGTTCAGTTGACAGCTCTTCTGTATATTTCTCTGTTGTAAACATTGGAGATCTAGTAGTTTCTACATCACTTGGGCCAGTTGTCTGTGAAATTGTGGTAGGAGGTGATTCAGTTGACATCTCTTCTGTAGATTCCTCTGTCGTAGACATTCCAGATCTAGTAGTTCCTACATCACTTGGGCCAGTTGTCTGTGGAATTGTGGTCAGAGGTGCTAAAGTTGACAACTCTTCTGTTGATGATTTTGTCGAAAAAATTCCAGAGACAGTAGTTTCTACATCACTTTGACCAGTTGTCTGTGGAATTGTGGTCAGAGGTTTTTTAGTTGACAACTCTTCTACATCACTAGGGCCAGTTGTCTGTGGAATTGTGGTCAGAGGTGCTAAAGTTAACAACTCTTCTGTTGATGACTTTGTCGAAAAAATTCCAGAGACAGTAGTTTCTACGTCATCCACATCAGTTGTCTGTGGAATTGTGATCAGAGGTGTTTCAGTTGACAACTCTTCTGTAGATTCATCTGTCGTAGACATTCCATATGTAGTAGTTCCTTCATCATCTAAATCAGTTGTCTGTGAAATTGTGGTCTGAAGTGGCTTAGTTGACATCTCTTCTGTAGATTCCTCTGTCGTAGGCCTTCCAGATCTAGTAGTTTCTACATTACTTGGGCCAGTTGTCTGTGTAATTGTGCTTAGAGGTATTCCAGTTGACAGCTCTTCTGTTGATGACTTTGTCGAAGAAATTTCAGAGCCGGTAGTTTGTACATCATCTACATCAGTTGTCTGTGGAATTGCGGTCAGAGGTGTTTCAGTTGACAGCTCTTCTGTAGATTCATCCGAAGTAGACATTCCATATGTAGTAGTTTCTACTTCATCTTCATCAGTTGTCTGTGGAATTTTGGTCTGAGTTGGATTAGTTGACATCTCTTCTGTAAATTGGTCTGTCGTCGACATTCCAGATCTAGTAGTTTCTACAACACTTGGGCCAGTTGTCTGTGGAATTGTGGTCAGAGGTTTTTCAGTTGACAGCTCTTTTGTTGATGACTTTGTCGTAGAAATTCCAGAGCCAGTAGTTTCTACATCATCTACATTAGTTGTGTGTGGAATTATGGTCACAGGTGTTTCAGATGACAACTCTTCTGTAGATTCATCTGTTGTAGACATTCCATATGTAGTAGTTTCTACATCACCTTCATCAGTTGTCTGTGGAATTGTGGTCTGAGTTGGTTTAGTTGACATCTCTTCCGTAGATTCCTCTGTCGTAGACAATCCAGATCTAGTAGTTTCTATATCACTTGGTCCAGTTGTTTGTAAAATTGTGGTCAAAGGTGCTTCAGTTGAAAGCTGATCTGTATATTTCTCTGTTGTAGACATTCCAGATCTAGTAGTTTCTACATCACTTGGGCCAGTTGTCTGTGAAATAGTTGCCAGAGGGGTTTCAGTTGAAAGCTCTTCTGTAGATTTCTCGGTCGTATACATTCCAGATCTAGTAGTTTCTACAATACTTGGACCAGTTGTCTGTGGAATTGTGGTCCGAGGTTCTTCAGTTGACAACTCTTCTGTTGATGACTTTGTCGTAGAAATTCCAGAGCCAGTAGTTTCTACATCATCTACATCAGTTGTCTGTGGAATTTTGGTGAGAGGTATTTCAGTTGACAACTCTTCTGTAGATTCCTCTGTCGTAGACATTCCAGATCTAGTAGTTTCTATATCACTTGAGCCAGTTGTCTGTGGAATTGTTGTAAGAGGTGTTTCAGTTGACAACTCTTCTGTTGATGACTTTGTCGTAGAAATACCAGAGCCAGTAGTTTCTACATCATCTACATCACTTTTGTGTGGAATTGTGGTCAGAGGTCTTTCAGTTGACAACTCTTCTGTTGATGGCTTTGTTGTAGAAATTCCAGTGCCAGTAGTTTCTACATCAGTTGTTTGTGGTATTGTGGTCAGAGGTGTTACAGTTGACAACTCTTCTGTTGATGACTTTGTCGAAAAAACCCCAGACCCAGTAGTTTCTTCATCATCTACATCAGTTGTCTGTGGAATTGTGGTCTGAGGTGTTTCAGTTGACAACTCTTCTGCTGATGACATTGAAGTAGAAATTCCAGAGCCAGTAGTTTCTACATCATCCACATCAGTTGTGTGTGGAATTGTGGTCAGAAGTGTTAGAGTTGACAACTCTTCTGTAGATTCGGCTGTCGTAGACATTCTAGATCTAGTAGTTTCTACATCCCTTGGGCCAGTTGTCTGTGGAATTGTGGTCTGAGGTGGTTTAGTTGACATCTTTTCGGTAGATTCTTCTGTAGTAGAAATTCTAGATCTAGTAGTTTCTATATCCCTTGATCCACTTGTCTGTGGAATCGTGGTCTGAGGTGGTTTAGTTGACATCGCAACAGTAGATTCCTCTGTCGAAGACATTCTAGATCTAGTAGTTTCTACATCACTTGGGACAGTTGTCTGTCGAATTGTGGTGGAAGGTGTTGCAGTTGACAACTCTTCTCTTGATTCCTTTGTCGTAGACAATCCAGATCTAGTAGTTTCTATATCACTTGGGCCAGTTGTCTGTGGAATTGTGGTCAGAGGTTTTTCAGTGGACATCTCTTCTGTTGATGACATTGTAGTAGAAATTCCAGAGCCAGTAGTTTCGACATCATCCACATCAATTTTCTGTGGAATAGTGGTCAGAGGTTTTTCGGTTGACAACTCTTCTGTAGATTCGGCTGTCGTAGACATTCCATATGTTTCTACATCGTCTTCATCAGTTGTCTGTGGAATTGCGGTCTGAGTTGCTTTAGTTGGCATCTCTTCTGTAGATTTCTCTATCGTCGACATTCCAGGTCTAGTAGTTTCTATATCACTTGGGCCAGTTGTCTGTGGAATTGTGGTGAAAGGTGTTGCAGTTGACAACTCTTCTGTTGATTCCTTTGTCGTAGACAATCCAGATCTAGTAGTTTCTATATCACTTGGGCCAGTTGTCTGTGGAATTGTGGTCAAAGATGTTTCATTTGAAAGCTCTTCGGTATATTTCTCTGTTGTAGATATTCCAGATCTAGTAGTTTTTACATCACTTGGGCCAGTTGTCTGTGGAATAGTGGTCAGAGGTGTTTCAGTTGACAGCTCTTCTGTAGATTTCTCTGTTGTAGACATTCCAGATCTAGTAGTTTCTGCATCTCTTGAGCCAGTTGTCTGTGAAATTGTGGTCAGAGGTGTTTTAGTTGACCACTCTTCTGTTGTTGACTTTGTCATAGAAATTCCAGAGCCAGTAGTTTCTACATCATCTATATAAGTTGTGTGTGGAATTGTGGTCAGAAGTGTTTCAGTTGACAACTCCTCTGTATACTCCTCTGTCGTAGACATTCCAGATCTAGTAGTTTCTACATCACTTGGGCCTGTTAGCTGTGGAATTGTGGTGAGAGGTGCTTCAGTTGACAACTCTTCTATAGATTCCTCTGTCGTAGACATTCTAGATCTAGTGGTTTCTACATCACTTATGCCAGTTGTCGGTAGAGTTGTGGGGAGGGGGTTTTCAGTTGACAGTTCTGCCGTTTCCTCGGTTGTTTGTGGAGTGGTGCTAAGTTCCGTTATGGAAGGTATAGTGGGTGTTCTTACTGCAGAGTTGTAACTACAATTGATTTCTTTAGTTTCCGTCGACGAGTCGCATTCTTTTTCCTGGCTATCGCAAGATTTCGATTTTTCACAGGAATTTTCTTTACTTTCTGATGAACTATTGCAACTCTGTGATGATTTACATTCTGGTTCTTTAATTTCTGATGAGGAGTCACAATTTTTCGACAGTATACATTCATATGACTTACTTTCTGATGAAATGTCACAAGTAATGGAGTCACCGCAGCTTTTTTCTTTGCTGTGTGGTTCCTTACTTTCGGATGAATCGTCACAACTTTTTGAACTTTCACACTCTTTATCTTTACTTTCAGATGAACTATCGCAACTTTGTGATGATTTACAGTCTGTTTCTTTACTTACTGAAGTGTCGCAACTTCTTGACTCCATACAATTTTGTGATTTACTTTCTTCTCTTTCCGAAGATGAGCTGCAACTTTCGGAATTTTTACAGTCCCTTTCTATACTCTGGGATAATTCGCAACTACTGGACTCACTGCAGTCTTTCTCTGGGTTGCCGGGAGTTGTAGGGAGAGGTGTTTCAGTTGACAACTCTTCCTCTATCGTAGGCGTTCCAGACTTAGTAGTGTTTACGTCACTTGGGCCAGTTGTCTGTGAAATTGTGGTGAGAGGTGTTTCAGTTGACAACTCTTCTAAAGATTCCTCTGTCGTAGACATTCCAGATCTAGTCGTTTCTACATCACTTGGGCCAGTTGTCTGGGGAATTGTGGTCAGAATTGGTGTAGTTGACATCTCTTCTGTAGATACCTCTGTAATAGACAGTCCAGATCTAGTAGTTTCTACCACTCTTATGCCAGTTGTCTGTGGAATTGTGGTCATAGGTTTTTCAGTTGACAACTCTTCTGTTGATGACTTTCTCGTAGAAATTTCATAGACAGTAGTTTCTACATCATCTACATCAGTTGTCTGTGAAATTGTGGTCAACTCTTTTGTAGATTTCTCTGTCGTAGACAATCCAGAACCAGTAGTTTCTGCATGACCTGCGCTAGTTGTCTTTCGAATTGTGGTCAGAGGTGTTTCAGTTGACAACTCTTTTGTAGAATCCTCTGTCGCAGACATTCCAGGTCTAGTAGTTTCTGCATCCCTTGGTCCAGTTGTCTGTGGAATTGTGGTCAGAGGTGTTTTAGTTGACAACTCTTCTGTTGATGGCTTTGTCGTAGACATTCCAGATCTAGTAGTTTCTACATCAGTTGGACCAGTTGTCTGTGGAATTGTGGTCAGAGGTGGTATAGTTGACAACTCTTCTGTTGATTCTTCCGTCGTAGAAATTCCAGATCTAGTAGTTTCTACATCCCTTGGGCCAGATGTTTGTGGAATTGTGGTTATAGGTGTTTCGGTTGGCAACTCTTCTGTTGATGACCTTGTCGAAGAAGTTCCAGACCCAGTAGTTTCTTCATCATCGACATCAGTTGTCTGTAGAATTATTGTCTGATGTGGTTTAGTTGACATCTCTTCTGTAGATTTCTTTGTCGTAGACATTCCAGACATTCTAGTAGTTTCTACAATACTTGGACCAGTTGTCTGTGGAATTGTGGTCAGAGGTTTTTCAGTTGACAACTCATCTGTTGATGACTTTGTCGTAGAAATTCCGGAGCCAGTAGTTTCTACATCATCTACATTAGTTGTGTGTGGAATTATGGTCAGAGGTTTTTCAGTTGACAACTCTTCTGTTGATGACTTTGTCGAAGAAATTCCAGAGCTAGTAGTTTCTGTATCACTTGGGAGAGTTGTCTGTGAAATTGTGGTCAGAGGTGTTTCAGTTGACAACTCTTCTGTTGATGACTTTGTCGTAGACATTCCAGTTCTAGTAGTTTCTACATCACTTGTGACAGTTGTCTGTGGAATTGTGGTCAGATGTGTTTCAGTTGACAACTCTTCTGTTGATAACCTTGTCGTAGAAATGCTTGTGCCAGTGGTTTCTACATCATCTACATCAGTTGTCTGTGGAATTGTGGTCAGATGTGTTTTAGTTGACAAATCTTCTGTAGATTCATCTGTCATAGACATTCCATATGTAGTAGTTTCTATATCAGTTGTCTTTGAAATTGTGGTCTGTGGTGGTTTTGTTGACATCTCTTCTGTAGATTCCTCCGTCGTAGACATTTCAGGTCTAGTAGTTTCTACATCTGTTGCCTTTGGAGTTGTGGTGAGAGGTGTTTCAGTTGACAACTCTTCCGTAGATTCCTCTGTCGTAGACATTCCAGATATAGTAGTTTCTACATCACCTGGGCCAGTTGTGTGTTGAATTGTGGTAGGAGGTATTTCAGTAGACAGCTCTTCTGTTGATGACTTTGTCGTAGAAATTCCAAAGCCAGTAGTTTCGGCTCCATCTATATCAGTTGTGTGTGGACTTCTGGTGAGAGGTGTTTCAGTTGACCACTCTTCTGTAGATTCCTTTTTCGTAGACATTCCAGGTCTAGTAGTTTCTACATCACTTGGGACAGTTGTCTGTGGAATTGTGGTGAGAGGTGTTTCAGTTGACAACTTTTCTGTTGATGACTTTGTCGTAGAAATTCCAAAGCCAGTAGTTTCCGCATCATCTAAATCAGTTGTGTGTTGATTTGTGGTCAGATGTGTTACAGTTGACAACTCTTCTGTAGATTCCTCTGTCGTAGACATTCTAGATCTAGTAGTTTCTATATCACTTGGGCCAGTTGTCTGTGGAATTGTGGTCAGAGGTTTTTCAGTTGACAACTCTTCTGTTGATGACTTTGTCGTAGAAATTCCAAAGCCAGTAGTTTCTGCACCATCTATATCAGTTGTGTGTGGACTTCTGGTGAGAGGTGTTTCAGTTGACAACTCTTCTCTAGATTTTTCTGTCGTAGACATTCCAGATCTAGTAGTTTCTACATCACTTGGGCCAGTTGTCTGTGGAATCGTGGTGAAAGGTGTTGCAGTTGACAACTCTTCTAAAGATTCCTCTGTCATCGACATTCCAGACCTAGTAGTTTCTACATTACTTGTGCCAGTTGTCTGTGGAAATGTGGTGAGAGGTGTTTCAGTTGACAACTCTTCTAAAGATTCCTCTGTCGTAGACATTCCAGATCTAGTCGTTTCTACATCACTTGGGCCAGTTGTCTGTGGAATTGTAGTGAGAGGTATTTTAGTTGACAACTCTTCTGTAGATTCCTCTGTCGTAGACATTATAGATCTAGTAGATTCTACATCACTTGGGCCAGTTGTGTACGGAATTGTGGTCAGAGGTTCTTCAGTTGACAACTCTTCTGTTGATGACTTTGTCGTAGAAATTCCAAAGCCAGTAGTTTCTGCACCATCTATATCAGTTGTGTGTGGCCTTCTGGTGAGAGGTGTTTCAGTAGACAACTCTTCTGTAGATTCCTCTGTCGTAGACATTGCAGATATAGTAGTTTCTACATCACTTGGGACAGTTGTCTGTGGAATTGTTATAAAAGGTGTTTCAGTTGACAACTCTTTTGTTGATAACTTTGTCGTAGAAATTACTGAGCCAGTAGTTACTACATAATCTATATTAGTTGTCTGTGAAATTGTGGTCAGATGTGTTTCAGTTGACAACTCTTCTGTAGATCCATCTGTCGAAGACATTCCATATGTTGTAGTTTCTGCATCATCTACATCAGTTGTTTGTGGAATTGTGGTCCGAGGTAGTTCAGTTGACATATCTTCTGTAGATTCTTCTGTCGTAGTCATTCCAGATCTAGTAGTTTCTACATCACTTGGGCCAGTTGTCTGTGGAATTGTGGTCAGAGGTCTTTCAGTTGACAACTTTTCTGTTGATGACTTTGTCGTAGAAATTCCAAAGCCGGTAGTTTCTGCATCATCTAAATCAGTTGTGTGTGGAATTGTGGTCAGATGTGTTACAGTTGACAAGTCTTCTGTACATTCCTCTGTCGAAGACATTCTAGATCTAGTAGTTTCTGCATCTCTTGGGCCAGTTGTCTGTGGAATTGTGATGAGAGGTGTTTCAGTTGACAACTCTTCTGTTGATTCCTCAGTCGTAGACATTCCTGATCTAGTAGTTTCTACATCACTTGGGCCAGTTGTCTGTGGGATTGTGGTGAAAGGTGTTGCAGTTGACAACTCTTCTGAAGATTCCTCTGTCGTCGACATTCCAGGTCTAGTAGTTTCTACATCTTTTGATCCAGTTGTCTGTGGAATTGTGGTCAAAGGTCTTTCAGTTAACAATTGTTCTGTAGATTCATCAGTCGTAGACATTCCATAAGTAGTAGTTTCTACATCATCTACATCAGTTGTGTGTGGAATTGTGGTCAGATGTGTTACAGTTGACAAGTCTTCTGTAGATTCCTCTGTCGAAGACATTCTAGATCTAGTAGTTTCTGCATCTCTTGGGCCAGTTGTCTGTGGAATTGTGATGAGAGGTGTTTCAGTTGACATCTCTTCTGTAGATTCCTCTGTCGTAGTCATTCCAGATCTAGTAGTTTCTACATCACTTGGGCCAGTTGTCTGTGGGATTGTGGTGAAAGGTGTTGCAGTTGACAACTCTTCTGAAGATTCCTCTGTCGTCGACATTCCAGGTCTAGTAGTTTCTACATCTTTTGATCCAGTTGTCTGTGGAATTGTGGTCAGAGGTCTTTCAGTTGACAACTTTTCTGTTGATGACTTTGTCGTAGAAATTCCAAAGCCGGTACTTTCTGCATCATCTAAATCAGTTGTGTGTGGAATTGTGGTCAGATGTGTTACAGTTGACAAGTCTTCTGTAGATTCCTCTGTCGAAGACATTCTAGATCTAGTAGTTTCTGCATCTCTTGGGCCAGTTGTCTGTGGAATTGTGATGAGAGGTGTTTCAGTTAACATCTCTTCTGTAGATTCCTCTGTCGTAGTCATTCCAGATCTAGTAGTTTCTACATCACTTGTGCCAGTTGTCTGTGGTATTGTGGTCGGAGGTGTTTCAGTTGACAACTCTTCTGAAGATTCCTCTGTCGTAGACATTCCAGGCCTAGTAGTTTCTACATCACTTGGGCCAGTTGTCTGTGGAATTGTTGTAAGAGGTGTTTCAGTTGACAACTCTTCTGTTGATAACTTTGTCGTAGAAATCCCAGAACCAGTTGTTTCTACATCATCTATATCTGTTGTGTGTGGAATGGTGGTCAGAGGTGTTGCAGTTGAAAAGTCTTTTGTAGATTCCTCTCTCGTAGACATGTCAGATCTAGTGGTTTCTACATCACTTGGGCCTGTTGTATGTGGAATTGTGGTGAGAGATGCTTCAGTTGACGACTCTTCTGTAGATTCCTCTGTCGTAGACATTCTAGATCTAGTGGTTTCTACATCACTTAGGCCAGTTGTCTGGGGAGTTGTAGGGAGGGGGTTTTCAGTTGAGATTTCTGCCGTTTCCTCGGTTGTTTGTGGAGTGGTGCTAAGTTCCGTTATGGAAGGTATAGTGGGTGTTCTTACTGTAGAGTTGTAACTACAATTGATTTCTTTAGTTTCCGTCGACGAGTCGCATTCTTTTTCCTGGCTATCGCAAGATTTCGATTTTTCACAGGAATTTTCTTTACTTTCTGATGAACTATTGCAACTCTGTGATGATTTACATTCTGGTTCTTTAATTTCTGATGAGGAGTCACAATTTTTCGACAGTATACATTCATATGACTTACTTTCTGATGAAATGTCACAAGTAATGGAGTCACCGCAGCTTTTTTCTTTGCTGTGTTCCTTACTTTCGAATGAATCGTCACAACTTTTTGAAATTTCACACTCTTTATCTTTACTTTCAGATGAACTATCGCAACTTTGTGATGATTTACAGTCTGTTTCTTTACTTACTGAAGTGTCGCAACTTCTTGACTCCATACAATTTTGTGATTTACTTTCTTCACTTTCCGAAGATGAGCTGCAACTTTCGGAATTTTTACAGTCCCTTTCTATACTCTGGGATAATTCGCAACTACTGGACTCACTGCAGTCTTTCTCTGGGTTGCCGGGAGTTGTAGGGAGAGGTGTTTCAGTTGACAACTCTTCCTCCATCGTAGACGTTCCAGACTTAGTAGTGTTTACGTCACTTGGGCCAGTTGTCTGTGTAATTGTGGTGAGAGGTGTTTCAGTTGACAACTCTTCTAAAGATTCCTCTGTCGTAGACATTCCAGATCTAGTTGTTTCAACATCACCTGGGCCAGTTGTCTGTGGAATTGTAGTCAGAATTGGTGTAGTTGACATCTCTTCTGTAGATACCTCTGTAATAGACATTCCAGATCTAGTAGTTTCTACCGCACTTGGGCCAGTTGTGTGTGGAATTGTGGTCATAGGTTTTTCAGTTGACAACTCTTCTGTAGATTCCTCTGTCGTAGGCAATCCAGATCTAGTAGTTTCTACATGACCTACGCTAGTTGTCTTTGGAACTGTTGTCGGAGGTGTTTCAGTTGACAACTCTTCTGTAGATTCCTGTGGCGTAGACATTCCAGATCTAGTAGATACTGAGCCAGTAGTTTCTATATCATCTACATCAGTTGTCTGTGGAATTGTGGTCAGAGGTGTTTTAGTTGACAACTCTTCTGTTGATTCTTCTGTCGTAGACATTCCAGGTCTAGTAGTTTCTACATCAGTTGGGCCAGTTGTCAGTGGAATTGTGGTGAAAGGTGTTGCAGTTGACAACTCTTTTGAAGATTCCTCTGCCGTAGACATTCCATATGTAGTAGTTTCTTCTTCATCTACATCAGTTGTCTGCCTAATTGTGGTCTGTGTTGGTTTAGTTGACATTTCTTCTGTAGATTCCTCTGTCGTAGACATTCCAGATCTAGTAGTTTCTACCGCACTTGGGCCACTTGTCTGTGGAATTGTGGTTAGAGGTTTTTCAGTTGACAGCGCTTCTGTGGATGACTTTGTCGTAGAAATTCCAGAGCCAGTAGTTTCTACTTCATCTACATCAGTTGTCTGTGGAATTTTGGTGAGAGGTATTTCAGTTGACAACTCTTCTGTAGATTCCTCTATCGTAGACATTCCAGATCTAGTAGTTTCTATATCACTTGGGACAGTTGTCTGTGGAATCGTTGTAAGAGGTGTTTCAGTTGACAACTCTTCTGTTGACGACTTTGTCGTAGTAATTCCAGAGCCAGTGGTTTCTACATCATCTGCATCAGTTGGTGTTTCGGTTGAAAACTCTTCTGTAGATTCCTCTGTCGTAGACATTCCAGATCTAGTAGTTTCTATATCACTTGGTGGGCCAGTTGTCTGTGGAATTGTGGTCAGAGGTGTTTTAGTTGACAACTCTTCTGTTGATTCCTCTGTCGTAGACATTCCAGTTCTAGTAGTTTCTACATCACTTGTGACAGTTGTCTGTGGAATTGTTGTAAGAGGTGTTTCAGTTGACAACTCATTTGTTGATAACTTTGTCGTAGAAATTTCTGAGCCAGTAGTTTCTACATCATGTATATCAGTTGTCTGTGGAATTGTGGTCAGATGTGTTTCAGCTGACAACTCTTCTGTAGATCTATCTGTCGAAGACATTCCATATGTTGAAGTTTCTACATCATCTATATCAGTTTTCTGTGGAATTGTGGTCTGTGGTGGTTTGGTTGACATCCCTACTAAAGATTCCTCTGTCGTAGACATTCCAGAACTAGTAGTTTCTACATCACTTGGGCCAGTTGTCTGTGGAATTGTGGTCAGAGGTCTTTCAGTGGACAACTTTTCTGTTGATGACTTTGTCGTAGAAATTCCAAAGCCAGTAGTTTCTGCATCATCTAAATCAGTTGTGTGTGGAATTGTGGTCAGATGTGTTACAGTTGACAACTCTTCTGTAGATTCCTCTGTCGTAGACATTCTAGATCTAGTAGTTTCTACATCACTTGGGCCAGTTGTCTGTGGAATTGTGGTCAGAGGTTTTTCAGTTGACAACTCTTCTGTTGATTCCTCTGTCGTAGACATTCCAGATCTAGTAGTTTCTACATCACTTGGGCCAGTTGTCTGTGGAATTGTGGTGAAAGGTGTTGCAGTTGACAACTCTTCTGCAGATTCCTCTGTCGTCGACATTTCAGGTCTAGTAGTTTCTACATCTTTTGATCCAGTTGTCTGTGGAATTGTGGTCAGAGGTCTTTCAGTTGACAACTTTTCTGTTGATGACTTTGTCGTAGAAATTCCAAAGCCAGTAGTTTCTGCATCAGTTGTGTGTGGAATTGTGGTCAGATGTGTTACAGTTGACAACTCTTCTGTAGATTCCTCTATCGAAGACATTCTAGATATAGTAGTTTCTGCATCTCTTGGTCCAGTTGTCTGTGGAATTGTGATGAGAGGTGTTTCAGTTGAAAACTCTTCTGTTGATTCCTCTGTCGTAGACATTCCAAGTCTAGTAGTTTCTACATCTTTTGATCCAGTTGTCTGTGGAATTGTGGTCAAAGGTCTTTCTGTTAACAACTCTTCTGTAGATTCATCAGTCGTAGACATTCTATAAGTAGTAGTTTCTACATCATCTACATCAGTTGTTTGTGGAATTCTGGTCCGAGGTAGTTTAGTTGACATCTCTTCTGTAGATTCCTCTGTCGTAGTCATTCCAGATCTAGTAGTTTCTACATCACTTGGGCCAGTTGTCTGTGGAATTGTGGTCAGAGGTCTTTCAGTTGACAACTTTTCTGTTGATGACTTTGTCGTAGAAATTCCAAAGCCGGTAGTTTCTGCATCATCTAAATCAGTTGTGTGTGGAATTGTGGTCAGATGTGTTACAGTTGACAAGTCTTCTGTAGATTCCTCTGTCGAAGACATTCTAGATCTAGTAGTTTCTGCATCTCTTGGGCCAGTTGTCTGTGGAATTGTGATGAGAGGTGTTTCAGTTGACAACTCTTCTGTTGATTCCTCAGTCGTAGACATTCCTGATCTAGTAGTTTCTACATCACTTGGGCCAGTTGTCTGTGGGATTGTGGTGAAAGGTGTTGCAGTTGACAACTCTTCTGAAGATTCCTCTGTCGTCGACATTCCAGGTCTAGTAGTTTCTACATCTTTTGATCCAGTTGTCTGTGGAATTGTGGTCAAAGGTCTTTCAGTTAACAATTCTTCTGTAGATTCATCAGTCGTAGACATTCCATAAGTAGTAGTTTCTACATCATCTACATCAGTTGACATCTCTTCTGTAGATTCCTCTGTCGTAGTCATTCCAGATCTAGTAGTTTCTACATCACTTGTGCCAGTTTTCTGTGGTATTGTGGTCGGAGGTGTTTCAGTTGACAACTCTTCTGAAGATTCCTCTGTCGTAGATATTCCAGGCCTAGTAGTTTCTACATCACTTGGGCCAGTTGTCTGTGGAATTGTTGTAAGAGGTGTTTCAGTTGACAACTCTTCTGTTGATAACTTTGTCGTAGAAATCCCAGAACCAGTTGTTTCTACATCATCTATATCTGTTGTGTGTGGAATGGTGGTCAGAGGTGTTGCAGTTGAAAAGTCTTTTGTAGATTCCTCTCTCGTAGACATGTCAGATCTAGTGGTTTCTACATCACTTGGGCCTGTTGTATGTGGAATTGTGGTGAGAAATGCTTCAGTTGACGACTCTTCTGTAGATTCCTCTGTCGTAGACATTCTAGATCTAGTGGTTTCTACATCACTTAGGCCAGTTGTCTGGGGAGTTGTAGGGAGGGGGTTTTCAGTTGAGATTTCTGCCGTTTCCTCGGTTGTTTGTGGAGTGGTGCTAAGTTCCGTTATGGAAGGTATAGTGGGTGTTCTTACTGTAGAGTTGTAACTACAATTGATTTCTTTAGTTTCCGTCGACGAGTCGCATTCTTTTTCCTGGCTATCGCAAGATTTCGATTTTTCACAGGAATTTTCTTTACTTTCTGATGAACTATTGCAACTCTGTGATGATTTACATTCTGGTTCTTCAATTTCTGATGAGGAGTCACAATTTTTCGACAGTGAACATTCATATGACTTACTTTCTGATGAAGTGTCACAAGTAATGGAGTCACCGCAGCTTTTTTCTTTGCTGTGTTCCTTACTTTCGGATGAATCGTCACAACTTTTTGAAATTTCACACTCTTTATCTTTACTTTCAGATGAACTATCGCAACTTTGTGATGATTTACAGTCTGTTTCTTTACTTACTGAAGTGTCGCAACTTCTTGACTCCATACAATTTTGTGATTTACTTTCTTCACTTTCCGAAGATGAGCTGCAACTTTCGGAATTTTTACAGTCCCTTTCTATACTCTGGGATAATTCGCAACTACTGGACTCACTGCAGTCTTTCTCTGGGTTGCCGGGAGTTGTAGGGAGAGGTGTTTCAGTTGACAACTCTTCCTCTATCGTAGACGTTCCAGACTTAGTAGTGTTTACGTCACTTGGGCCAGTTGTCTGTGTAATTGTGGTGAGAGGTGTTTCAGTTGACAACTCTTCTAAAGATTCCTCTGTCGTAGACATTCCAGATCTAGTTGTTTCAACATCACCTGGGCCAGTTGTCTGTGGAATTGTAGTCAGAATTGGTGTAGTTGACATCTCTTCTGTAGATACCTCTGTAATAGACATTCCAGATCTAGTAGTTTCTACCGCACTTGGGCCAGTTGTGTGTGGAATTGTGGTCATAGGTTTTTCAGTTGACAACTCTTCTGTAGATTCCTCTGTCGTAGGCAATCCAGATCTAGTAGTTTCTACATGACCTACGCTAGTTGTCTTTGGAACTGTTGTCGGAGGTGTTTCAGTTGACAACTCTTCTGTAGATTCCTGTGGCGTAGACATTCCAGATCTAGTAGATACTGAGCCAGTAGTTTCTATATCATCTACATCAGTTGTCTGTGGAATTGTGGTCAGAGGTGTTTTAGTTGACAACTCTTCTGTTGATTCTTCTGTCGTAGACATTCCAGGTCTAGTAGTTTCTACATCAGTTGGGCCAGTTGTCAGTGGAATTGTGGTGAAAGGTGTTGCAGTTGACAACTCTTTTGAAGATTCCTCTGCCGTAGACATTCCATATGTAGTAGTTTCTTCTTCATCTACATCAGTTGTCTGCCTAATTGTGGTCTGTGTTGGTTTAGTTGACATTTCTTCTGTAGATTCCTCTGTCGTAGACATTCCAGATCTAGTAGTTTCTACCGCACTTGGGCCACTTGTCTGTGGAATTGTGGTTAGAGGTTTTTCAGTTGACAGCGCTTCTGTGGATGACTTTGTCGTAGAAATTCCAGAGCCAGTAGTTTCTACTTCATCTACATCAGTTGTCTGTGGAATTTTGGTGAGAGGTATTTCAGTTGACAACTCTTCTGTAGATTCCTCTATCGTAGACATTCCAGATCTAGTAGTTTCTATATCACTTGGGCCAGTTGTCTGTGGAATCGTTGTAAGAGGTGTTTCAGTTGACAACTCTTCTGTTGACGACTTTGTCGTAGTAATTCCAGAGCCAGTGGTTTCTACATCATCTGCATCAGTTGGTGTTTCGGTTGAAAACTCTTCTGTAGATTCCTCTGTCGTAGACATTCCAGATCTAGTAGTTTCTATATCACTTGGTGGGCCAGTTGTCTGTGGAATTGTGGTCAGAGGTGTTTTAGTTGACAACTCTTCTGTTGATTCCTCTGTCGTAGACATTCCAGTTCTAGTAGTTTCTACATCACTTGTGACAGTTGTCTGTGGAATTGTTGTAAGAGGTGTTTCAGTTGACAACTCTTTTGTTGATAACTTTGTCGTAGAAATTTCTGAGCCAGTAGTTTCTATATCATGTATATCAGTTGTCTGTGGAATTGTGGTCAGATGTGTTTCAGCTGACAACTCTTCTGTAGATCTATCTGTCGAAGACATTCCATATGTTGAAGTTTCTACATCATCTATATCAGTTTTCTGTGTAATTGTGGTCTGTGGTGGTTTGGTTGTCATCTCTTCTGTAGATTCCTCTGTCATAGACATTCCAGATCTAGTAGTTTCTACATCACTTGGGCCAGTTGTCTGTGGAATTGTGGTGAGAGGTGTTTCAGTTGACAACTTTTCTGTTGATGACTTTGTCGTAGAAATTCCAAAGCCAGTAGTTTCTGCATCATCTAAATCAGTTGTGTGTGGATTTGTGGTCAGATGTGTTACAGTTGACAACTCTTCTGTAGATTCCTCTGTCGTAGACATTCTAGATCTAGTAGTTTCTATATCACTTGGGCCAGTTGTCTGTGGAATTGTGGTCAGAGGTTTTTCATTTGACAACTCTTCTGTTGATGACTTTGTCGAAGAAATTCCAAAGCCAGTAGTTTCTGCACCATCTAAATCAGTTGTGTGTGGACTTCTGGTGAGAGGTGTTACAGATGACAACTCTTCTGTAGATTTTTCTGTCGTAGACATTCCAGATCTAGTAGTTTCTACATCACTTGGGCCAGTTGTCTGTGGAATCGTGGTGAAAGGTGTTTCAGTTGACAACTCTTCTGTTGACGACTTTGTCGTAGTAATTCCAGAGCCAGTGGTTTCTACATCATCTGCATCAGTTGGTGTTTCGGTTGAAAACTCTTCTGTAGATTCCTCTGTCGTAGACATTCCGGATCTAGTAGTTTCTATATCACTTGGTGGGCCAGTTGTCTGTGGAATTGTGGTCAGAGGTGTTTTAGTTGACAACTCTTCTGTTGATTCCTCTGTCGTAGACATTCCAGTTTTAGTAGTTTCTACATCACTTGTGACAGTTGTCTGTGGAATTTTTGTAAAAGGTGTTTCAGTTGACAACTCTTTTGTTGATAACTTTGTCGTAGAAATTCCTGAGCCAGTGGTTACTACATCATCTATATTAGTTGTCTGTGGAATTGTGGTCAGAGGTGTTTCAATTGACAACTCTTCTGTAGATCCATCTGTCGAAGACATTCCATATGTTGTAGTTTCTGCATCATCTACATCAGTTTTCTGTGGAGTTGTGGTCTGTGGTGGTTTGGATGACATCTCTCCTGTAGAGTGCTCTGTCGTAGACATTCCAGATCTAGTAGTTTCTACGTCACTTGTGCCAGTTGTCTGTGGAATTGTGGTCAGAGGTCTTTCAGTTGACAACTTTTCTGTTGATGACTTTGTCGTAGAAATTCCAAAGCCAGTAGTTTCTGCATCATCTAAATCAGTTGTGTGTGGAATTGTGGTCAGATGTGTTACAGCTGACAACTCTTCTGTAGATTCCTTTGTCGTAGACATTCCAGATCTAGTAGTTTCTACATTACTTGTGCCAGTTGTCTGTGGAATTGTGGTCAGACGTCTTTCAGTTGACAACTCTCCTGTTGATGACTTTGTCCTAGAAATTCCAGAGCCAGTAGTTTTTACATCATCTACGTCAGTTTTGTGTGGTATTGTGGTCAAAGGTTTTATAGTTGACAAATCTTCTGTAGATTCCTCTGTCGTAGACATTCTGGATCTAGTAGTTTCTACATCCCTTGGGCCAGTTGTTTGTGGAATTGTGGTGAGAGGTGTTTCAGTTGACAACTCTTCTGTCGATGACCTTGTGGAAGAAATTCCAGACCCAGTAATTTCTTCATCATCTACATCAGTTGTCTCTGGAATTGTGGTCTGAGGTGGTTTAGTTGACAACTCTTCTGTAGTGGCAGAAATTCCAGAGCCAGTAGTTTCTACATCAACTACATCAGTTGTCCGTGGAATTGTGGTTTGAGGTGGATTAGTTGACAAATCTTCTGTGAATTCATCTGTCGTAGACACTCCATATGTAGTACCTTCTATATCATCTACTTCAGTTGTCTGTGGAATTTTGGTCTGAGGTTGTTTAGTTGACAACTCTTCTGTTGATGACTTTGTAGTAGAAATTACAGAGCCAGTAGTTTCTATATCACTTGGGACAGTTGTCTGTGGAATTGTTGTAAGAGGTGTTTCAGTTAACAACTCTTTTGTTGATAACTTTGTCGTAGAAATTCCTGAGCCAGTAGTTACTACATCATCTATATCAGTTGTCTGTGGAATTGTGGTCAGATGCGTTTCAGTTGACAACTCTTTTGTAGTTCCATCTGTCGAAGACATTCCATATGTAGTAGTTTCTACATCATCTACATCAGTTGTCTGTGGAATTGTGGTCAGAGGTGGATTAGTTGACATCTCTTCTGTAGATTCCTCTGTCGTAGACATTCCAGATCTAGTAGTTTCTACATCACTTTTGCCAGTTTTGTGTGGAACTGTGGTCAGAGGCTTTTCAGTTGACAAGTCTTCTGTGAATGACTTTGTCGTAGAAATTCCAGACCCAGTGTTTTCTACATCATCTACATCAATTGTCTGTGGAATTGTGGTGAGAGGTACTTTAGTTGACCACTCTTCTGTAGATTCCTCTGTCGTAGACATTCTAGGTCTAGTAGTTTCTGCATCTCTTGGGCCAGTTGTCTGTGGTATTGTCATGAGAGGTGTTTCAGTTGACAACTTTTCTGTAGATTCCTCTGTCGTAGACATTCCAGATCTTGTAGTTTCTACATCACTTGGGGCAATTGTCTGTGGAATTGTAGTCAGATGCGTTTCAGTTGACAACTCTTCTGTAGATCCATCTGTCGAAGACATTCCATATGTAGTAGTTTCTACATCATCTTCATCAGTTGTCTGTGGAATTGTGGTCCGAGGTAGTTTAGTTGACAACTCTTCTGTAGATTTTTCTGTCGTAGACATTCCAGGTCTAGTAGTTTCTACATCACTTGGGCCAGTTGTCTGTAGAATTGTTGTAAGAGGTGTTTCAGTTGACAACTCTTCTGTTGATAACTTTGTCGTAGAAATTCCTGAACCTGTTGTTTCTACATCATCTATATCTGTTGTGTGTGGAATTGTGGTCATAGTTGTTGCAGTTGAAAAGTCTTTTGTAGATTCCTCTCTCGTAGACATTTCAGATCTAGTAGTTTCTACATCACTTGGGCCTGTTGTCTGTGGAATTGTGATGAGAGGTGTTTCAGTTGACAACTCTTTTGTTGATAACTTTGTCGTAGAAATTCCTGAGCCAGTAGTTACTACATCATCTACATCAGTTGCCTGTGGAATTGTGGGCAGATGTGTTTCAATTGACAACTCTTCTGTAGATCCATCTGTCGAAGACATTCCAAATGTAGTAGTTTCTACATCATCTACATCAGTTTTTTGTGGAATTGTGGTCTGTGATGGTTTAGTTGACATCTCTTCTGTAGATTTCTCTGTCGTAGACATTCCAGATCTAGTATTTTCTACATCACCATCAGTGTCTTCTACATCATCTACATCAGTTGTCTGTGGAATTGTGATGAGAGGGGTTTCAGTTGACAACTCTTCTGTAGATTCCTCAGTCGTAGACATTCCAGATCTAGTAGTTTCTACATCTTTTGATCCAGTTGTCTGTGGAATTGTGGTCAAAGGTCTTTCAGTTAACAACTCTTCTGTGGATTCATCAGTCGTAGACATTCCATAAGTAGTAGTTTCTACATCATCTACATCAGTTGTTTGTGGAATTGTGGTCCGAGGTAGTTTAGTTGACATCTCTTCTGTAGATTCCTCTGTCGTAGTCATTCCAGATCTAGTAGTTTCTACATCACTTGTGCCAGTTGTCTGTGGTATTGTGGTCAGAGGTGTTTCAGTTGACAACTCTTCTGAAGATTCCTCTGTCGTAGACATTCCAGGTCTAGTAGTTTCTACATCACTTGGGCCAGTTGTCTGTGGAATTGTTGTAAGAGGTGTTTCAGTTGACAACTCTTTTGTTGATAACTTTGTCGTCGAAATTCCAGAACCAGTTGTTTCTACATCATCTATATCTGTTGTGTGTGGAATTGTGGTCAGAGGTGTTTCAGTTGAAAAGTCTTTTGTAGATTCCTCTCTCGTAGACATTTCAGATCTAGTAGTTTCTACATCACTTGCGCCTGTTGTATGTGGAATTGTGGTGAGAGATGCTTCAGTTGACGACTCTTCTTTAGATTCCTCTGCCGTAGACATTCTAGATCTAGTGGTTTCTACATCACTTAGGCCAGTTGTCTGGGGAGTTGTGGGGCGGGGGTTTTCAGTTGTGATTTCTACCGTTTCCTCGGTTGTTTGTGGAGTGGTGCTAAGTTCCGTTATGGAAGGTATAGTGGGTGTTCTTACTGTAGAGTTGTAACTGCAATTGATTTCTTTAGTTTCCGTCGACGAGTCGCATTCTTTTTCCTGGCTGTCGCAAGATTTCGATTTTTCACAGGAATTTTCTTTACTTTCTGATGAACTATTGCAACTCTGTGATGATTTACATTCTGGTTCTTCAATTTCTAATGAGGAGTCACAATTTTTCGACAGTGTACATTCGTGTGTCTTACTTTCTGATGAAGTGTCACAAGTAATTGAGTCACCGCAGCTTTTTTCTTTGCTGTGTGGTTCCTTACTTTCGGATGAATCGTTACAACTTTTTGAACTTTCGCACTCTTTATCTTTACTTTCAGATGAACTATCGCAACTTTGTGATGATTTACAGTCTATTTCTTTACTTGCTGAAGTGTCGCAACTTCTTGACTCCATACAATTTTGTGATTTACTTTCTTCACTTTCCGAAGATGAGCTGCAACTTTCGGAATTTTTACAGTCCCTTTCTATACTCTGGGATGATTCGCAACTGCTGGACTCACTGCAGTCTTTCTCTGGGTTGCCGGGAGTTGTAGGGAGAGGTGTTTCAGTTGACAACTCTTCCTCTATCGTAGGCGTTCCAGACTTAGTAGTGTTTACGTCACTTGGGCCAGTTGTCTGTGAAATTGTGGTGAGAGGTGTTTCAGTTGGCAACTCTTCTAAAGATTCCTCTGTCGTAGACATTCCAGATCTAGTTGTTTCAACATCACCTGGGCCAGTTGTCTGTGGAATTGTAGTCAGAATTGGTGTAGTTGACATCTCTTCTGTAGATAACTCTGTAATAGACATTCCAGATTTAGTAGTTTCTACCGCACTTGGGCCAGTTGTCTGTGGAATTGTGGTCATAGGTTTTTCAGTTGACAACTCTTCCGTAGATTCCTCTGTCGTAGACAATCCAGAACCAGTAGTTTCTACATGATCTGCGCTAGTTGTCTTTGGAACTGTTGTCGGATGTATTTCAGTTGACAACTCTTCTGTAGATTCCTGTGGCGTAGACATTCCAGATCTAGTAGATACTAAGCCAGTAGTTTCTACATCATCTACATCAGTTGTCTGTGGAATTGTGGTCAGAGGTGTTTTAGTTGACAACACTTCTGTTGATTCCTCTGTCGTAGACATTCCAGGTCTAGTAGTTTCTACATCAGTTGGGCCAGTTGTCAGTGGAATTGTGGTGAAAGGTGTTGCAGTTGACAACTCTTTTGAAGATTCCTCTGCCGTAGACATTCCATATGTAGTAGTTTCTTCTTCATCTACATCAGTTGTCTGCGGAATTGTGGTCTGTGTTGGTTTGGTTGACATTTCTTCTGTAGATTCCTCTGTCGTAGACATTCCAGAGCTAGTAGTTTCTACCGCACTTGGGCCACTTGTCTGTGGAATTGTGGTTAGAGGTTTTTCAGTTGACAACTCTTCTGTGGATGACTTTGTCGTAGAAATTCCAGAGCCAGAAGTTTGTACTTCATCTACATCAGTTGTCTGTGGAATTTTGGTGGGAGGTATTTCAGTTGAGAACTCTTCTGTAGATTCCTCTATCGTAGACATTCCAGATCTAGTAGTTTCTATATCACTTGGGCCAGTTGTCTGTGGAATCGTTGTAAGAGGTGTTTCAGTTGACAACTCTTCTGTTGACGACTTTGTCGTAGTAATTCCAGAGTCAGTGGTTTCTACATCATCTGCAACAGTTGGTGTTTCGGTTGAAAACTCTTCTGTAGATTCCTCTGTCGTAGACATTCCAGATCTAGTAGTTTCTATATCACTTGGTGGGCCAGTTGTCTGTGGAATTGTGGTCAGAGGTGTTTTAGTTGACATCTTTTCTGTAGATTTCTCTGTCGTAGACATTCCAGATCTAGTAGTTTCTACATCACTTAGGCCAGTTGTCTGTGGAATTGTAGTCAAAGGCTTCTCAGTTGACAACTCCTCTGTGAATGACTTTGTCGTTGAAATTCCAGAGCCAGTAGTTTCTGCATCAGCTACATCGGTTGTCTGTGGAATTGTAGTGAGAGTTGTTTCAATTGACATCTCTTCTGTAGATTCCTCTGTCGTAGTCATTCCAGATCTAGTAGTTTCTACATCACGTGGTCCAGTTGTCTGTGGAATTTTGGTCAGAGGTGTTTCAGTTGACAACTCTTCTGTAGATTCATCTGTCGTAGACATTCCATATGTAGTAGATTCTACATCAGTTGTTTGTGGAATTGTGGTCCGAGGTAGTTTAGTTGACATCTCTTCTGTAGATTCCTCTGTCGTAGTCATTCTAGATCTAGTAGTTTCTACATCACTTGGTCCAGTTGTCTGTGGAATTGTGGCCAAAGGTGTTTCAGTTGACAACTCTTCTGTAGATTCATCTGTCGTAGACATTCCATATGTAGTAGATTCTACATCAGTTGTTTGTGGAATTGTGGTCCGAGGTAGTTTAGTTGACATCTCTTCTGTAGATTCCTCTGTCGTAGTCATTCCAGATCTTGTAGTTTCTACATCACTTGTGCCAGTTGTTTGTGGAATTGTGGTCAGAGGTGTTTCAGTTGACCACTCTTCTGTTGATGACTTTGTTATAGAAATTCCAGAGCCAGTAGTTTCTACATCATCTATATCAGTTGTGTGTGGGATTGTGGTCAGAGGTGTTTCAGTTGACAACTTTTCCGTAGATTCCTCTGTCGTAGTCATTCTAGATCTAGTAGTTTCTACATCACTTGGGCCTGTTGGCTGTGGAATTGTGGTGAGAGGTGCTTCAGTTGACAACTCTTCTGTAGATTCCTCTGTCGTAAACGTTCTAGATCTAGTGGTTTCTACATCACTTAGGCCAGTTGTCTGGGGAGTTGTGGGGTGGGGGTTTTCAGTTGACAGTTCTGCCAATTCCTCGGTTGTTTGTGGAGTGGTGCTAAGCTCCGTCATGGAAGGTATAGTGGGTGTCCTTACTGTAGAGTTGTAATTGCAATTGATTTCTTTAGTTTCCGTCGACGAGTCGCATTCTTTTTCCTGGCTGTCGCAAGATTTCGATTTTTCACAGGAATTTTCTTTACTTTCTGATGAACTATTGCAACTCGATTTACATTCTGGTTCTTCAATTTCTGATGAGGAGTCACAATTTTTCGGCAGTGTACATTCGTGTGACTTACTTTCTGATGAAATGTCACAAGTAATGGAGTCACCGCAGCTTTTTTCTTTGCTGTGTGGTTCCTTACTTTCGGATGAGTCGCCACAACTTTTTGAACTTTCACAGTCTTTATCTTTACTTTCAGGTGAACTATCGCAACTTTGTGATGATTTACAGTCCATTTCTGTACTTACTGAAGTGTCGCAACTTCTTGACTCCATACAATTTTGTGATTTACTTTCTGATGACGAGTCACATTGGTTTGTTTTACTGCAGTCTTTGTCTTCACTTTCCGAAGATGAGCTGCAACTTTCGGAACTTTTACAGTCCCTTTGTACACTGTCGGATAAATTGCAGCTACTGGACTCGCTGCAGTCTTTTTCTTGGCTATCTGGATATATATTGCAGCTTTCCGAATTTTCGCAGTCGTTGTTGCATTCAGTAGAGTCTTGACAATCTGATGTCGTGATATTTTGGGGCAAAGTGGTTTGCGGCGATGTAATTGTACTCAAAAGATCTTCAGATTGGGGAGTGGACCTTTCGGTTATCCACTCACTTTCAGTGCTTTGTGATACTAATACAGCTGTTGTGGTCTCACCACCTCCTTTAAGGCCACCAGATTCATCATAGCATTTATCTTCTCTAGGTTTCGTTGTTGTGGTTGTACAATGTTCATGGATCTTAGTGCGTGTTTCGTTCGTGCAAGGATGTCGTATATTTATTATTAATTGATTTGGTTTGTCACCTTGACGTATGCGTATATATGGTTTTCCGTAATAAGTTAACGATGTTGTCACTACTACTAGTGCACTCAATAGAAGTAAACACTTTTGCATCATTTATATTAATATTACTCTTTTTTTTAATAACAAGTTCGTCATGACAAATTTCTTAGTTTTTTTTTTAAACAATTTCGTCAATTTAATTATTTCACCTAATTAGTTTATTAAATTTGAATTTAACTATTATAACAAATTTTAATTAACTATTTTTATTATTTTAATGGTGTCGCTTTGTAAAGAACACGTCGATTACTGGAGGTCTGAGTACAAAGTTTAGTCTTTTTAATAGCTTCCGATTGACAAAAGGAAATTATTAAATAATTTTAGTACTAATCGTGTAAAATATGTGCAAATATTTATATTTTGATTTAGAGTTAGCTTTATTTTAGTCGCATTTGTAAATTGTAATTTAATACTACGAGTATTTCTGCTATTTCTATAGTTATTGCGATTGCTCTACTAACTTGTGAGAGAATGTCATATTCGGTTAAATAAAAATTGTAAATATTGATTATGTAATTTATTAACTAATTTTTATTATTTTTATTACCGCCTACATAATTAAATTATGTTTTTTTGTTGCTCATACAGTGATGTACAAAACGGTTGTGGGTAATACTTAGGGGTTCTGTGGGAAACAAAATACATATTAAATGGCGAAACTAATTTTTTTGCTTATTACAAAAAAAAAAATATATTTTTTAAAATTTTAATAACTAAGAAATATATATTGCAGTTTTGGTTGCTATTGTTTGTATTTGCAAGTTTTTTAAATATTGTGCTTAATGACTTCTTGTTCAGTTGCTTTTTATTTTATTATTTTTTTAATAGTACAAAATCGGGTCAAGCTTATTGTGAAATATATAAAGTCAATTAATACGCATCTAATCCAGACAATTTTGTATTTAAAAGTAGTATTTTATAAAATGTGATACAATTTCAAATAATTGCAAACTATTTGAGTCACGTTTACAAATTAAAATTTGCTAATTGTATTAAAACTTATTGTATTTTACATCGGTGTAGTTTAAGAATACCAGTTTAAATGTACAACTTCCGCTATTCTACTTTATTCACAATTTTGTCATATTTACACATTTTTTACATTTTGTATTATTTCATATAAACAGCAATCTTTTTACACTGTTATTAATACCGGGTTCTATAAATTAATATTATCTAGATGTTCATAGAGAAAGGTTGATTTCAAAATTGCAGCGAATAATTAAATTATATTTACTCGATGCGCATAATATCATCATTCAGAGATACAGTCGATCCTTCCCTTTAGTTCTTAAAGGCTGTCCCAATCCAGTAATTTTATGTAGCATTAAACACTATCGATAGCTAGCACTTTACTAGTATTTTTGAGCCGGTTATGAGCATGAAAAACTAAATCAATATATCCCCGTTTTTGGGGACAGTCATATTTGTATTATGCTTATTTGACTGTAGAGATTTTTTTGAACATATTGTACTATAATTAAAATGTTCAATCGTTTGTAGGGAACTTAGGTTCATCCAATCTTTTGTTTTGTACTTTATTTAATACATTAATACGCATTATTTGAGGGGTATTCCTATAAAAAATGGTCCACGGGATGTACATAAAAATGTATACATTTTCGTATATTAATGGAAACGCAAAAGTAATTCTTAGTATTACTTTTATATTTCAAGAAGAATTTAAATTACTCTATGTTTTTCTGTAACTCTACACATAGTGAAGAGTGCATTTATACTTTTGGGCTGAAATGTGTAGGTCCTCCAAACTGGAGTATAGTGTAATATCGTCAATTATATGCGACTTTTGTTAGTTACTTGTTTTAGGTTAGGTTAGGTTGATAGGAGGATGCATACTACATCAAATCCGAAGAAATACACCTCGGCCACTTTCGTGCCTATTGTGCGCTCCTTTTCATAAAAAAATTACTGAATGTATTATTTTTCAATGTTCAGAAACTCAGTTTCCTGAACGTAATTTCCAAGAAATTTAGAATCAGTGTTAGTCAGGAATGTTAGTTCCGGAATAATATAACTTCCAAGATGCTTCGATCAAACTTCGACGAATGCCTGACAGTGGCAAAGAAAGTGTTCGTCTGAATCCTCACTTCCAATTTTGTATAGATGTGCTCGTAATAGTGGTGTCCTCTCAGAATACGTACCATCATACTAACCTCGAACTTGCTCATTTTGAGGAGATTTCTCGTCTTGCTCTCATCAGGGTCTTTGTGGTTCTACCTACTGATTCATTATTCCAAGTGGCCTTATGGGATTATCTCACCCGTATTTTTAGTTCAGCTTTTGTTGCGTCGAATGGTTTCGCATTGTCGGGTTAACTACTCGAGCTCCCTTCCCTTTAAAGCTATTACATTCGCCCTTTCGTTGCCGACTATTCCCGAGTGGCCTGGTACCAGTGATGCCAAGTGTAGGGATTTTTCCCTTTTTGTAGGGATTTTTTTCAAAAATTTCACGTGTAGGGAAAAAGGGAAAGATTTCTTACTATTGTCAAATTGTAGGGATTTTTCAATTTCATAGTTTTTAACAACTAAAAATATACTCTTTCATGTATTAAACTTTTAAATTAAAAATGAAATCAGTTTTAAGTGTATCGTTAGTAAAAATTCCGCTTGTAATTTCTACAATATATGTACCTACATATCGCTACAAGACTGGCATAATCCAAAATTCGGCTTTCTTGAACTAAGGTCTTCAAAACATGCGACATACTAAAATCTTTCATATAGATTTATGAAATTCCAAATATGTCTATTATTTTCGATGTGAAATCGATTTTTTGTAAACGTAAAAACTAAAACCCACGTTTTTGTGAATATTAGACAACTAAAAATTTAATTTCAATTTAGATGAGAAACATATTAACCTCAACTATCTGAATCTGGATTTTTAAAACCCCTTGATTTGTTTAAAAGTTATTAAAAAAATAGTTAAATGTCATTAAATATTCATATCCATTTTTCTTGAAACGACTTTTTGGATTATGCCAATCCTGTAGGGCGATATATTCTGACTCCTTATAGATAGAGTAGTCGGGGGCTTAATGCAGTAACTCAGGATTGAAAAAATGAATTTAATGTTCTGAAAATTTATAAAAGTAAACCGCAAAAAGTAAACGCAAAAGTAAACCTTATTTAAAATACATAATTATTTTATGAAAATTTTTTGTTGGAGGCACATAAAATAAATTTTTATCACGATTCGATATACTGCCATAAATCTTTCAATTGTTTTTTTTAATCTTAACTGAAGAGTCAGGGTTGGAAGATTTGTATGATGTAAAATTGAAAGAAAAAAAAATTAAAATTTAAATTCTAGAAATTTCATTCCTAAAAATTAAAAAAAAATACATACATATACATATGTATATTATAAAACGTAGCTAATATTTTAGTTTTTGATGTTATTTTTGTATTTTTTTAAGATAAACTTTGAAAAAAATGGAAAAAAGTAGTGTAGGGAAAAATGTAGGGAAAATAAAAAGTGGGTGTAGGGAAAAAAGGGATTTTTTCTCATAAGCGTAGGGATTTCTGAAAAAAATCTCCTGGCATCACTGCCTGGTACCCATATCATGTAAGCCTTATCTCTGGGAGAATATTCAGTTAAAGCTTTCTTACAATCCAATACGGTCGTAGATTTAATTCTATCACCTGATATCGCCCTAATTACCTTCAGGCTGTCGGTAAATATATTAAGCCCTGTGGGCGCCATATTTATTCTAATCCAATTTACACATTCCGTTATTGCTCGGACTTCTGCTGGAAGCTTGTGTTATGTTTAGGTAAACAGTGGTATATTTCTGTTTCTGGGTCTTCAATATATAACCCCAGGTCCGTGTAGCAACGGATTCCTACTGGTATTTGCTCTAATTTTCTGCTTGACCTACCCATTCTATCTAGGATCAGCGTTTCAAAGTTTTGTTTATTGTTTTAAACTTAGATTTACATTAACTAAATTCGAAGATCTTTAAAGAAAACACTTTTTCATGTAAGTAGTTTGTAATCCTTTACTAGTTTATGCTTATAACACTTAAGACACATTTATATTCTTCGGGAATAGAGTGCGCTTCTTAAGTTGCTGCTAAACAGAAACAGGAAAAATGCCAACCAGCCATCAGATGCTTACTGTTGTCTATAATAAGAATGAATAAATATTAAATCACTATATTTTTTGTAGATTTTGTAGTTTTGAAATACTTATTCTTATTTTTTATTTTGCAAATTGATGATGCAAATTTAAAACAATTTCGATTGATGTCAGCACTTATTAAATGTTTTTCCTTTTCCCGTTTGTTTTTTTGTTTCTTTTTAGTAAGTATCTCTAGAGGAAATGAGTGCAAATATAAAATGTAAGTATTAAAAGAAGAAAAATTATTAAAATAATTTAAATAAAAGGAAGTAGTAGTACGAAAAAAACTTTTTGCTGCAATATGAATCTGGAAGAGTTTAAAATATATGCTTTTTTTAATTTTAAGGACAGGTTTTAAATTTTTGAATATTTTTTTTTTTAACATTCGTTTAATGAGAAACATTATCTGAAGTCAAAATAGGGCTTCATTTGTTATATGTACATTGAAATATTGATCGAAGACCCATGTTAGAATACTGAAATCCTAATAGGACCTAAAGACAAAGTTTTCAACAAATGGGATTCTACTTAAACAATATTCGTAAAAAAAACTATTACAAGCTGAATTATCTAAATATGGAAACCAAGAAAGCTTTATTATTCACTAACTTGAATAGATAATGACAATGCAATTAAATTTAAAACAAATAAATAAAATCACATTAATACTCCAGTAATTCTAAAACAAAAAAACTTGCGCCACACCCTTAATAAGTGGAAAAATGAATGAACAATTGTCTGTACTATTTATTGAATGAATAAATAGTACATACAGCAATCACTGGAGAAATTACAAATAATGGCATAAAAATTATTGAACAAATATAAATTAGTATTTAATTTATCCACACTCAAGAATGGCTCTGGAGGCAAGTAATTGAAGAAACAAAATACAACAACAACAATTATAAAAAAATAAGGAAATTGAGATGAGAGTAACAATAAGAATTAAATAAAAACTTGCACGAGGAAGCGATAAAAGAATAAAAGCGGACAGCGAACAATAAAAATTAAGAATTCAACTTTTATATGAGTTAGACAAAGAAATCATACGTATTATGTACAAATATATTTGTGCTGCCAACATATAGTTACACACAAAATTAAACAAACATTAACATATCGTTCATTTCCAACAAAACTGGCATAAGTACCAAATTCGAAGTTTTCAAGAACTCGAAAATGTTTATTGTAAACGTTCAAACTATAACCCACATGTGGGTTAGGCCTGTGGTAATTCCTAAAATAAACCATCAATAACTTTATTAATACTTTATGAATACGAGATTAATTTCAGTTTAAATTCAGAAGGGAAAAGTACATATTTGGTAATGTGAAAAAAACTCACATAAAATTTGTTTTAACAAATAATATATCACTTTTAAACGACCCCAAAATAGCTTCCTTAACTGTAAACGTGCCATTGTTTGTACGTTTAATTTATGAGGTGACTATTTTGGACAGGACAGACAAAAATATTATAATGGCGAATGTTAGTTTTTATAGAAAAATAAAGTAAAGGGAAACAAAAAACTTAAGGAACCCAAGTCTTGTAGACAATAAAAACCAATAAAAAGAATAAACTTAAAAAAAAAACATTGCAAAAAATAAAATAAGTCGATGTGAAAGAAATTTTTGTTTTCAAGAATTTGTTTTGGAAGTATATGTATGTATATAGAGAAGGAAATAAACAAACAATGGCATCAATGAATGACAAAAGTTTTATATAGAGAAAATGAAGAATGAAATAAGAACTTTACAAAAACAAATAATTTGAAAATTAGTTCAAGTCGATCCGATTCCACACTTAAAAAAATTTAAGATTTATTACTTAGATTGCAAGAAATTTATAAAAAGTAAAGACAAATTGTAGATTTTGCAATATAAACTAAAGAAAATCCTTAAATCACAATTATTTTAATAACAATTTGACTTTTACATATTTCCTCATATATCCTCATTTTCATCTTGAACAACAACAAAATGTACTTTAAAAGTTTCCTTCTTAAGCCCGGTAAGTGTCAAATAATTAACAGCTTCTTTTAAGAGTGTTGTAGGACATAAAAATGTGTATATATGAAAATACAGAGTTATGTTCAAAAATTAAGTAAATATTTTTCATTTTTATCCAAATTTAAAATGCACAAACATAAATGTACATATGTATGTGTGTATTATGTGCATTAATCAACAAGAAGAATTTGTATGGGAAACTGACAAATGAAGTGCTGTTTTTGTACTGAGTCATAAGCAAAAAGATACGAAATTCTGGGATAAAAGAAGCTACAAAACTATATAAAGGCTGGAAATATTTACTCATACATTCAGATATTTTTACAGTGCACACAGGGGCAGGAATTACTCAGTTTTGTTAAGTTGAGAATTACAATTTCGTTTTTTTAACTAAATATACAATTTCTGTGGTATAATTCGTGATTTTCTAGAATCTATATAATCAACACTATACTTTTCCAATATTTGATTCAGATCGGACCAGAACTTTAAAAAGTATTGATACATATTTTCAAATATATGTATATAACCCGATAGCATCCTAGGCGTCCTTTTTTCTTGTTCTCTAATATCCTTGATCTAATAGCATTATGTTCACCTATAAATAATTCACCTTGTAATAATCAAAACTGTTTTTTGCCTATATATTAGCCAATATTTTGTAAAATAAAATACGGGTTTGTCGAAAAATCTATAATAACTTGTCCTGTGTGCACTGTCGTAAACATATGGAATGATCAATATTTAATTAAAGAGAACTGTGACCATGTCTTGCAGAAACAAAACTGTATATATTTAAGAGTTTTTAGTGATGATTGTGTTTGGGAATCGATAAATTTGCAGAAACTTTTACTGAATAATGGAAAGATAACTACCGAATCGAGAATTGTTATCGATGTAACCTGTTTTTAGCTAATTTTTATCAGGAAATATTTTTTCCGAATTACTGCTTGTTTTCGGACGGCAGATCATCTGATCCATTTTCAATAAGTAACATTTCTGATCACCTCCTTTGGGTCGTAACGTTATTTTGGTCAAGTACCCAGCATATACATATGTATAGGGGTTTAAAGGTGACCTATAATCTGAGGCTTGTTGACATAAACCCGCGACTTCAAAAAGCCCCACAAAAAGAAGTCTGGAGCGGTTAAATCAGGCGATCTTGCTGGCCAGTGCAAATCGCCAAAACGGGAGATTAGGCGCCCGGGAAATGCATCCTTCGGCATATCGGTTGTGGCACGTGCAGTGTGTGCCGTTGCACCGTTCTGTTGGGACCACATGTTTTCCAATCCCAATTCATCAAGTTTCGGCAAAAAGAACTCGTTGAACATTGCTCTGTAGCGCTCACCATTCACATTAACCGTTTGGCCCGTGACTTCTTCGAAGAAAAAAGGTCCGATGACTCCTCCAGCGAAAACAGCACACCATACAGTGGCTTTGAACGGGTGTAATGGCTCTTCGTGGGTTCAACGAGGATTTTCAGTGCCCCAGAAGCATAAATTTTGCTTATTTACGTACCCGCTAAAATGGAAATGGGGCCCATCACTCATTCACATTGTGCCAAAGTCACCGACCGATTATTGGTCAAATAAATAGTCAGCAATATTCCGCGTTCTGGAGCAGTGTAGCGTAACATTGTTTATTAATGTGTATTTCGCATGTGTTTACTACACAAATGTCAAAACAGAACTGACATTAGGCGCCAACCGCAAAATTTACAGCATTTTCTGATAGGAGGATTATTTTTGCGCCACCTTGTATTTTCCGAGTTGTATTATGATTTATATAACATTAACAACAATGTTAACATTTTAGAAACTAAAACTTCATTTTGAATGAAGGTCGAAATATATGTACATATATACACTGACCCTCACTACACTTAGTTAAGTCATCAATAAATATTCAATGGTTTAAAAAAATTACTAAGAGAGCCTAAATCTACATAAATTTACAGAAATAGTGTTAGTTGGTTTTTATGCCCTACACCATCATAGTGGTTACGGCATTATGCATAAACAAATTATCATGAAAATTACGACCTGTAGCATGCGTACGAAGTTTACATGGACACACAGATGGAAGGACTTAGCTTCCCAACAAAAAGAAGGTGCTACTTCTGAATGGTAATAAATGTCATCCTTTTAGAATTATATAGAATTATTATCATAAAATTATTCTGAATTGCTTGTCATTCTTTTCTGAGCGTATGATCACTATTTTTGGATGTTACAAGCATCAGAGCAAACACATAATACCCACCGCTACAGTATTTTACAATAAACATTTTAATCAAAACCCCAATATAAAAAATCAATATAAATTTTGTTAACAAGGAAATTCCAATAACATTTCCAAAGTACTTTAAAATAATACCAATCTCAGGGAACCGGACAGCATAAACATTTTTGGTTTCTCGCCCCGTTTATTGTTGCATCAAAGTATTCGCACGAAATCGTTGCAAAATGTTCTACTTAATTTTACAACACTATTATTGCTATTTTTTCCTACTATATACCATGTTCGTGTGGATAAGCATACATACATATATATGTAATTTGTAGTAAAAATTATATAAAAAACGAAGTGAAATAAAGTTTAAAAGGAAAACAAAATTTAAAGAAACGAGACAAGAGTAAAAGCAAAATGTAAAAGTGGAAAAAAAGTTAATGATAAACAACATATAATAATCTGAATGCAGCACGTGTAACAAATAAATAAAATCAACAACCAGAAAATAAAAATAAAAAATAAATTCAAAAAGTTACTTACTCTTCATGATTTACAATGTTGTCATTGTTGCTGCTGCTGTTCTTGTTTTATTTCAAAGGAATATTCCTTCGTTCGTTGTTTTAAGTGGATTGCTTGGGAAAGTATTCATCATTTTCATTCTTTCGTTTCTTTGGCAGAAAAAAAATTTAAATTTTATCAAAAGAAATACATACATATATCGCATATTTTGTGTATTTAATATTAAGACATTTACCCCCTTATTCATAAACAACATTTTATTTTATAAAAGGTTTATAAGTCAAAATTTCCATACGAAATTTGATTTAAAAATCGTTCCATACGAAATTTGATTTAAAAATCGTTTATAAAATAAACTTACCATCATACTAACTTCAGACTTGCTCATTATGAGGAGATTTCTCGTCTTGTTCTCATTAGGATCTTTTTGGTTCTACCTACCATTTCATTATTCCA